AAAAAAAAAAAAATAGGCAATGTCTGAGGCTCCTGATTTGGAAGCAGGGAGAGCTCACACTAGGTGTAAGCTCCTTGAGAGAAGACCACATTTCACTCATCTTTACTTCCTCAGTGCCTAGACCAGCAGGTGCTTGTTGCATACTAAGTACTAAGGCGTGGCATGAATGATTGGAATTCATCGTTCTGAGTTAATTGCTTTTTCCTAGAATTGCACTGAGAGTCATTTAATTGGAAAGCATCCTTAGTATATTAATTACATTAACATTTTGTATAGGAGCCCTAGTGGTACAGGGGGTTAAGTGCTTGACTGCTAACAGCAAGGTCAGCAGTTAGAGCTCACCAGCCACCTCACAGGAGAAAGATAAGACTGTTTGCTTCCATAAAGATTTACAGTTCTCAAAACTCAAAATTATAAAATAGCCATTGGTCACCTTTCATGTCTGGAACTGAACTCACACTTGTGGCTCAATTTTTAGCCAACCAGTAGACAGGTGTATAGGGGACAGCAAAACTATGGAGGTATGCACACCATGTAATGGTCAATCATTCAAGATCAACAGGGAAGCATTTACCTAAGGACCCAATTCAAAGGGTTGGGAAAGAAGGAGGAAGGGAAACAAGAATCACAGGGAGCATGTGGGATAAGTGATGTTACATGGAGGGAATTGCAATCATTGAGATGAAACAAAACAGATGACTTGTTGGATGTAACACCTGCTGCATGCCCACTTGCAGGTAAGCCATCACAGCTCAGCCAGAAAAGGAGAGATGGGTAGTAGGCTGTCTACCTCCAGGGCTGAGGAGGATGAAGCTGTGGGGCTGGGAAGCCCTGGGGGACCCATGTCCAAGGAAGGGCATGCTCTTCTGAGTCCTGGCACCTGAATCCAGCATGGCTCCCCTGCATGCTTTGCTCAGGCACCAGAGTCTCAGACCCTCCTGCCACACGGAGGAATCTGGGCTACACTGCCATTACACAGCCCACATCTGTGTGTGCCCTCCCAATCCACAAAGCACTCTGCCATCTGTTTAATTGGCACTCCCAGCAAGCCAGGAGAGGGGCAGGAGCAGGCATTCATCTTATCAGAGCATCACAGATGGAGAAATGGAAGCTCAGGGAGGTCACATGGTCAGGGACAGGGTTGAAACTCATCAAGGACTCATGATTCCAGACCCTTAGGCCAGGCTGACTCTCAGAGCAGGGGAATCTTCATCTTAACACTGGGCCCTGGATCCAATGCACAAGAGAGGCCCAAGGCACACCCAGATGATCTCTAAGGTCAGGGGTAGAAATGGGAAAGGTGCAGGGGATAATGGATCCATGCTATGGGTGAACAAGCTGAGGAAGGAAAAAAACCCTGGCAGGATGGCTCGGTGGCAAAGTCAGGAATAGAACCTGCGTTCTAGTCCGGATCTAGAGCACTTAGGGAACTAGAACCTGGGTACCATTCTCTCCCTCCGCCTGCCCAAAACAGCCTCATCCAGCACAACACCAGCGGGGCCTGCATGAGTCCCACCACATTTTGTACCTGGAGTTCATAGCTGGTGGGCCTCCCAGCTTCAGCAAGGCCTGTGTGCAGTGGGTCTCTGTTGCCCTCATTTCCTGGCTAAAGACCTAGATAAAGTGTCTAAATTTTCCTCCAGCTGACTGCTGCCCCAGATTCCACCTCTCTGAAGGATAAGTCTGTTTTTCTCCCCGCTGGTGGATGTGTCTGCCACTCAGTTCTATCCCTGACTTCCTGAACCGCCTGTCTTTATGTTGCTGACAACCCACTCTAAGTCTCACTTCTTGAAATGTACAGATGTATGTGAAGAAAATGCCAAAACTCTAGGCACAGAGCCTAGCTGAGGGCCCGGAGACATGGAATACCACTACACCACAAAGGGGACGAGGGCTCCTCAAACCCCTGAAAGCTTAAGGCAAACCCCCAAGAAATTTGGTTTGGGTGACTGACAAAATGGTTGTGAAGTTCAATGAGAAGAATAAATGGGCAAGACTATCTTACAAAATCTTAGAGGAAGAAAGATGAGGGTGGACTATCCTCCTGGATTGAAATAAAAATGTAATGTAAAATGTGGGAGCCTCACGTTCCAATTCATTGACTCAGTTCATATACACTGATCAAGCATTCATCTGGGCCAGAAGGCATTCCAGGCCCTGGGAAAGGGTGGGGCCCAACGGGGATGTGATGCTTCTTGACTGTAAGATCTGTTTTAGAGCTCAGCAGGGTGTGGTCCGGGCTTTTCCAGAACAAGCTGAGAGGAGTGAGGGGTTATCAGACACTGAGCCAAAGATGTACTAGCCCAGTGAATTGTTTGGAGAGGACGAAGGAGAATAGATGTACAAAGAGAAGTGGACTGCATCAGGCCATGTCTTTGGGGGCTCATCTTGCCAAGACACCCTGTAGCTTCAGGCCCCAGCCAGCAACCATACAAGAATGGGCCTGTAATTAATACTAACCTAATCGTAACACTAGCAGCCACAGATAATTATTAAGCACGCATTATGTGCCAAGCATTTCATATGGAGTATCTCACTTACTCCTCACAACAGTCCTAGTAAAATGGTATACAAATGGATTTCAACAAGTTTGTGGAAGAATTCCATTATCATTTGATTCCATTTTCCCATAAACTTCCCATGAAGACCTCCTATATTATTTTTTTCCATTTTTCAGATGAGACTACTATAACTTGCCCACAGCCACACAGCTGCAAGTGGTGAAATTCAAACACAAACACAGACAGCCTGGCTTCAGAGTACCTGTCACTAACCCCTGCTCTCCCCTCCCCTCCAGGGTGGCAACCACTTATTTGAATAGGTGAGGCCCAATGATGTAGGAGTTCCAAAGAAAATGGGCTTCAGTGGCTCCCCAACCATCAGCGAGGCAAGGGTCTCCTTTACCTAACAGGCTAACCAATTACCATCGACTTGGTTCTGATGCATAATGACCTTCTAGGACAGAGCTGAACTGCTTCAGAGTTTTCACTGAAATTTCTATGGAAGCAGACTGCCACATCTTTCTCCCACAGAACAGCTGGTAGATTCAAACTGCCGACCTTGCTGTTAGCAACTGGCCACTTAACACTGTGGCTCTTCATGCTTGCACTTTGGACATTTAGAGAATGAAGAACCTCTGTGGTCATGAAATACAATCACCTTACAGGGCCAGAAGGCCATCCAGCTATGGGTAACAGGCTACCCACAGCCTGCCATGAACACCACAAGTGACAAACAGCTTGTCCCTCTTGGCATAGGTTCTAATGGTTTGGGATGGCTCATATTCTACAAGGGACTCACTGGCCTTTTACCTTCCTTCCAGGAAGTCCCAAGCACTATCATTTTACTTGGTCCCCTGTCCTGCCCTGTCTGATTTTCCAGCAAGTCCTCGGACTATCCAGCTCTACCTCCATCATTCCCTAATGCTGAAAACCCAAGCCAGTACACTTCAGCTGTTAAGGGTCTTGCAGGGTAAGGGGTGGGTGGGGAGGTGCAGCAATTCAGAGTGTACATCTACCTCTTTCTGCTCCCTCTGCAGACATAGTTCTTCGGTCTCTTCCATCAGTTTGTCTGCCAAAGCAAGCACACAAAGAGCTCACAACAGGTCTAAGTATCCACCCCCAAGGAAGCAGTCAGCCCTGCCACAACCACGCTGCCCAGAGTGGGACCAGCTCCTAATGCTGCTTGGCTGGCATCCTTTCCCATCATTGTTCCTCTTTGCAAACCCAAAAGCAATGGCATGGACTGGACCATGGAACTCAAGTGGGTCTCTGAGGCCCTATCCCCAGTCTACCTCCTACCTGCACTAATGTCTGGTTGGGGGAGGACAAATAGAGGGAACCAGTGCTGGGGTCTCATGTGTCTGCCGCACTAGGGACCCCTGGCAAAGGACCAAGTCCCCAGTCTCAACTTCTCTCCAAAGCAGTGTGTTTACTAGCCATTCCAGGACATAGGGACCTAGAAGCCTGTGGTCAGGTCTAAAGTGGATGGGGAGGGGACCATGAAGACAAGGCCAGGGCATGGAGGCTCAGGGCCGGACAACCAAGTGCAAGTCACAAGTACCTACATTGGTTTTCTCATTTCACCTAATTCCCCAACCCCCACAGCACCTCTAAAAGGTAGGGGCTATTTTTATCTCCATTGTAAGGATGAAGAAATGGAGGTTCAGAGAGGCTGAGCTGCCTAAAGACACACACAACTAAAAGACAAGTGACAAAGCTGGCTGGGTCCAGTGTTTAGTGCTTAGACACCAAAAACACTGCCTTTGAGTCGGCCCAAGACTCATGGCAAACCCCACATATTACCGAGGAGAACTGTTCTGTAGGGTTTTCTTGACTTTAACTTGGTGTGGCGCTGTAGGCCAAGCACTGGACTGCTAACCACAGGATTAATGGTTCAAACCCACCAACTGCTCCTTGGAGACCTTATACAGGTTCACTATGAGTTGGAACTGACTCAACGTCACTTAACAACCATCTTGATGGAAGCAGTTTGCTAGGTCTTTCTTCCACCTCAGTTGCCAGTCCATCCCTCCAGCAAACCTAAATACTCCTGCTTTTCCTTGGCCAACTGCAGGCCCTGGGCCTCCAAGCTTTTGATCATGGCTTCCCCCAGCTGGGCATTCTTCCAAGTCCTGGGGAGGTAGGGCAGATGGGAAAGAGGAGAGAAGAGAAAGAAACACGACATCATTAGAAGAGAGGGGAGAGGAAGATGAGAAGATGCATGTTTGTCCTCATCCATCCTCTCTCCTCCAGGATCTCAGTGCAAGCTCATCCTGGCACCCGGGACTCTGGGCACACTACCAGCATCGATTGGTTACTGTAACTGGAGGCCAGACGGGGGCCCAAAGTTGGCCACTGGGGGCTGGGCCAACAGCATGCTCAGAGCAGGGATGAGATTGCTTCCTGGGCCGCTCTCTGCCCAACACCTAGCTCCGGGCCTGGTCAGGGCACACTCAAGAGTTAGGGTTTGAACAGGCAGGTGCAGGGACAGGCAGGTGATGGACTGGGAATTCTGTGATCTGGACGCTGATTTACAAAGCCCCAGTTCTAGTCCCCACTAGGATGAATTATGGTCTTGGGGAGGTGAGAGGCGTGTGAGGAAGTAGCAAAATCCAAGGAGATATTTGGACTGGCTCGCAAGAGTTAGAGGCAAAATGATGCACACACCTGCCACCTGTGAGTCTAGACAAGCAGTGGCTTTCAGTGGTCACATCAAGTTCCCCATGGAGCCCCTAATACCTGCCTGTCTCTTCTCACCCACCTGCACCCTATCTGCAAGCAAGCCCAGAAAGCTTCCTCCCCACCTTGTTCTCCCCAGCGGCCTTCATGCTCACTGGGATCCCAGCAGAGAGTTAGGGAGTTCTGGATGGCCCAGCCCACACTCCTTTTCTTTCAGGGACCCTGGGGAGCACTTACACCTTCCCAGATTCCTGCAGCATCTCCAGCCACTGGGTCTGCTCAAACTCGGATTCTGCAGCCAGCACGATGTTCCCCTGCCAGGAGGGGGTGTCAGAGGGCTGCCTGAGAGGCAGGCGCCCGCAGCTCTGCTCCCTACTCCCACCCAGGGGGAATGGGGAAGCCAGGCCGGGGAGGGCTTTACGCACATGGAAGTCCTGGTGGGAGATCTTCATGGCATAGGGCATGCTGGGCTCTTCCTTGGCCTCCACCAGGCAGCCCCCCAGAGGGATGACACCCTGTGGAAGAAACAGAGCAGCAGGCCAGCTAACCCAGCCCAGGTCACTAGAAGCTAGACCCTAGGTCACTGGACAGAGGCCAGCTGATTCCTAGGGGGAAGATGGGAATTTTGAGGCACAGGAGGATGGGGACCCAACCCAGAAGGTAGATGGAGGTCTTTTTCCTCCAGGAGAATCTCCTTACCAGACTCTCAGCAAGGCCAGAGCAAAACCATAGGCAGCCCCATAGCTTCATAAGGTCCCACTCATACTGCATCCCTGGGCCCTCCCCAGTTGTGGCCCTGCAAGAGGCCTCCTCACCTTAGGATGTATATTGAAGTATTTATTGGTTTCAAAGCTCTTTTTTTCACTCTCAGAGTAGTAAAGCAGAAAGCTCTCTTTGATGATGAAAAACCTACAGTAGAGAAGGGAAAAAGAGGGGCAATCAAGAGAGAAGGATTGAGGCTTCTCACAATACCCACCCTTGGGGATCCTGGACTTACGTGGGAACCCCTGGGAATGACAGCTCAGACTCTTCCTCAGCAACTCAATTTCCACAACTACCCAACCCTCGGACCAGTAGGCCGCTGCTCTCATTCTCTGGAACCGGCAGCCTTGGCAACATACCTTTGGCCCTTCCTCTCGGTACTTTCAGTCCTTAAGCCTCCAGTCACTTAGGGTCTGCCCAGGACAGAAGGCAGAAAAGACAACTCAGAGTTCTAAGATGGGTCTTTTGGCAAGTAATGGTGAAGGCTGACAATCAAATGGAATGGGGGTGCCAGGCCAGTGAGGACAGACATCTGCACAGTGACACTCATACGCCCTCCTGTTGCACATGTCTCCACAGCCTCCTTCTGGGGCTCAGGTCTGACTTGGGTGCCCTGTGGAGCACTTGGATCCACCCTGGGAACTCTCTCAGGACTAATGACTGCGCTGACGGCAACAAGACGCCAGGTGTTCTGCAGGGAGGGCTGATAGGTGCCACAGCTCAGGGTCATACAGGGTAGTGATGGGATGCGAGCAGAACTCGGTGGGGATTCTGAAAGGTGTGTGTACACACATGAATACTTGTGCTGGGTTGAAAGCAGTGGTGTGCTAGAACCGGCTCAGGTGGGCTCTTGATGGCCTGCAGTGCAGCTCGTCCCCATTCTGCATTTGGTGACATCACATTGGTAGCTTGGTCACGATGAGGGTAATTACACCATGAAAATCATCAAATACGACAGAGCTTTCCCCCTGCCCAGCGTTGGTGGGGACTTTAGACCGTACTCCCCTGGTTGAAAGCACCCTCTGGGGAGCAGTTTGAAAAACCCCAGGTGAGCATGATGACACGGGGTGAAGCTTCTCAGGGACAGTCCCTGGGGAGGCTGACAGCTCCTTCTCCCTCCTCAGCACAGCAGGGAAGTGAAGCTCAGATTTGTCCTTGAGTTAATGCTCATACCAGCCCACTTTCTTTATATCCACTGACCCAGCCCTGAGTCCCTGCTCAGAGGGGACACACTGTCAACGCCAACTCTTCCCCAGGCTGACAGATAGCACCCAGTACAGACAGCAAAGACATGCCATGCCCTCCAGAATGGAAGCCCGGCTCACTGCCTCAGCTTTTCCACCAGGGCTGCCCTTTGACCTCTCTGCTCCAGGTTTCCCACTGTCCTCTGAACACAGATGTGCTGTTCTACCTGGAATGTCTGCCTCTTGCTCATCACCTGGCTGAACCCTTTTCAGCCTTGGCCACTAGCCTGGGGCCCCTGCTGATGTCCAGCCAAGCTCTTCTCACTGGGTTGTCAACCTGGCACTCATCGCCCACTAACAATGCCCATGAGCTCATCTAGGCTCCGGGAGGGTGGGAGGCCATGCCCCTGAGCTTTATGGGCCTTGGTAGATGACCCCTCACTGACTATTCCATGAGCACTTCAGAGGGTGGACAAGAGAATGGGCTTTGGTATCAGACCTGCCATTTCCTATGGGAGGTCTTGGCAATGAACTTCACACCTCTCTAAGCCTCTGAGCTTCCTTACTGTGTAATTGGGATAACAGCACCTACTTTACTGGGTTACTGTGAGGATCAAATGAGATTGTGAATCTACGTGCTCATCATTCTGCCAAGTCCCAGGACCCAGGACCAGGCCGAGGGATGCAAACCTATGGTCTAAATGTGCATCACCTGCAGGTTCAGCCAGGCCAGAGGGTCTGTGAAATGGAAGTACAAATCTCTCTCTTGGGGTTGCTGAGAGAATTCATTTTCTGGTTCACCAAATCATGACTGAGCTTCCACTTTGTTCTGGGCACTGGATGCTGGGGAAACAACTGTGAACAGGAAAGTAAAGAATCTCCCTTCATTGAGATGACACACAGTGTGTGTGTGGTGAGGAGTTGTCAGTTGATGTAGAGTTGATTCCAATTTATGGCGGCCTCGTGTGCAGAGTAGAACTGCTTCGTAAGTTTTCAAGGCTGTTATCTTTCAGTAGTAAATCCCCACGCCTGTCTTCTGAGGTGCTTCAGGGTTGGTACAAATGGCCAAACTTTCAGTTAATAGTCTAGCACTCAGCCATTTGGACCTCCTGTGTGGTGGGGAGGCGAACAGTACATAAACAAGAGAGGTAGGTTGTGTCCCAGGTGCCAATACATACTACGGAGAAAAATGAAGCAGAGGGAGGGAAACTGGGCCTGACAGGGGGAGGGGGGTTGGTTCAGGTTTCAGTATTAAACAGGTGGTCAGGGAGGGCCTTGTGGGGAGGACGAAGGTGTTCCAGGGAGAGGAGTCACAGGTATGCAGGTGGGAAGAGTTGCTGGTGGTAGAAGGATGCCAATGGCTGAAGCATAGCGAGGCAGGCAGAGAGCCACCAGGCGTGGGGTCTGTGGACTATAGTAACCACAGTGAATATAAAGCCAATGATGCCTTAGCCCTTCCCACAAGCTCCACTTGCTTTAAGTAGTCCCCCCCCCCCGTTAATGCATCTAATGCATCGAAGGCTCACAATTACCCTGGGAGGCAAGTGCTCCCTTCTGGTGCAGAAATAAAGCAGAGGTAAGGTGACTCGCTGAAGTTGTACCACTAGCTGACCCAGGCGGGCCTTTTCTCTGTCTCTGAAGACAGACAACCCTACGGGGTTTTCAGAAGGAGTGACATGATCTGTCTTTTCACTGGAACAGACCCATGGTGGCTGCTCTGTTGAGATCTTGGGGACAAGATCAGGTAGGTGAAGGTATGTAACATCCTCAGCACTTGCTTGGCACATAACCAAAACAGCCTGCTGCTGTTGAGTCCATCCCAGCTGGTGGCAGCCCCGTATGTGCAGAGCAGATCTGTTCCACAGGGATTTCTTGGCTATGACCTTCATGGGAGTGGATCGCCAGACCTTTCCTCCATGACAATACTGTGTGAGTTCACACCTCCAGCTTTCAGATCAGTAGCAGGTGTCCCAGTGATCACATCCCTCCTTCTCCTTCTACTCTCTGCAGAAGGGTGCAGAAAGGGGCAGATAGATGGGTGGCCAGGGCAGCCTGGGTTCCCTGCCAGCCAGACCACAGCTGGCCAAGGGGTCTCGGTGGGCTGCAGGGATTAGGAAGAGCCCACAGGCCATATATGCCAAGCCCGACCCATTCCAGCTGTTCTCAAGTTGGTGGGTGAGTGGGGGAGGGAAGAAGAGCTGACAGGGACCTGGAGCTGACACTCCCTGAATGGCAGGGCTCCGTAATGCCCACAAATGGCACGCTGGGCAAGCACACTTCCAGAACCCAAACACCAGCTGTGCCTATAAACTTGTCTCCTCTGTGACAGCTCAGTGCTCCACCTGTGACTCTCTCCTGTCTCTCAACAGGTGGGGCTCTCATGACCTGAGTGCTGCACAAGACACTTCCTCTGCCACCCCTCCTATAAAGTCCCCCAACTTCCATCCTCCCAGACTCGCATTTTGACACAAACTAGGGTATCCTTCCTTCTGAACCCTGCAAGATCTGGCTGGGCTGTGCAAGGGCTGATCCCATGTGTGAGCTACTGTGCCAAGTGCTCTACCAGGGGTCTTCAAAAAGTTCATGGAAAAATGCCATTACCTTTTTTTTGGTTTTGGTTTTGTTTTTTGCTTTTGTAACTTTTACTCAATATTACACTGGAAAGTTGAGCCAAAGTAGTAAGGCAAGAAAAATAAATAAAATTATGCCTATTTATACATGACATATTATACAGAGAGAATTCTAGAAAACCCACATATACGAAATCTATTAGATAATCTGTTAACTTAATCCAGAAAAGTTGCAAGCTATAAAGCCAACCCATAAAAATCAGTTTTATTTCTTTACACAAGTAATGAATAATCTCAAAAGATTAAGGAAACATTTCTATTTACAATACCAAAAGTAATAAAATACTTAAGAATAATAAATTTAACCAAGAGTTAGTGACACACTGAAGACTATAAAACACTATTGAAAAAAATTAAAAGAAGACCTAAATAAATGGAAAGATAATCTGTATTCACCAATTGAAAGACATATAATATGCTAAAATGGCGATAATACCCAAAGAGATGTGCAGAGTCAGTGTAATCTCTATTTAATTCCCAACACCATCTTTGGTCTGCCTTATTCCATTGTTTTAGCCATGGTGTCAATTCATCTCATGAAGGAGTTCCTTCATTATTGCTGGCCCTCTACTTTACCAAACATCATGTCCTTTTCTAGTAACTGGACTTTCTTGATCAAAGCAAGCAAGATAAAATCTTACCATCCTTGCTTCTAAGGAGCTGTACTTTCTCTTAGATGGATTTGTTTACTCTTCAGGTGTTGTTTTTGATTTTAAGTGCTGGCAAGTTGGCTCCGACTCATAGCGACCCTGTATAGGGTTTCTGAGGAGCAGCTGGTGAATCAACCTTGAGATTCAAACTGACCTTGCTTATACCACAGTACTACACCAGGACGGCACTGGTAGTTTATGGTAAATCCAATATTATTTGCCATCACAATCCAAATGTGTCAATTCTCTTTTGATTTTCCTTTCTCAGCATTAAACTTTTACATATGTACAAGGTGATTGAGTCAGTTACAGCTTAGTTATCATAGTGATAACTTTGATTTTTAAAGAGACCTTTTGATATAGATTTGCCCAAAGCAATATATGACTTGATTGCTTTTTTTTTTTTAATGTTTTATTGTGAATTATGTGATAGTTTACATGGGCGAGCATTAGTTTTTCATTCATTCTATAGTATATCGTTTCATTGCCATGGTTACAA